AATTTTAAATAACTTAAAAACGATTTATTTTAGGTATAGGAACATGTAGAGTCAAAAAGTAACGAACTGAAAAACCTTTTCACTAGTGAAATAAAAAAAGAGAGCTTTTGTCTTTGAGAAGTCAGAAACATTAAAATTACATATAGTCGGCTTTATGACGAAAAGGAGCATCTCGATTTTTGGCGATTTTGAGATATCAACGTCATGACATGCCCAATCGGTCATATTTTAACATAGCGAATTTGCGCATCTCAATATTATACCTTTTTCATTTTATATTCGTTTAAAAATTTGCCCCATCTCAAATACTACAATTCTTCGTTATGACGAAGAGACGTATGTTGAGATAGGGCTCTTTGTTATATCAACTGTTATACCAATTGTTATACTACAAGAGAGATGGAAATTGAGATAGGTCCTTTTGTTTTAAGTTATGAAAATGCATGCAAGAGAAAATCACACCTTCTTCTTCTTCTTTCAGTGCCTATCCTCTATGGATGTTGGCAATCATGTTGGTCCACATAATCCTATTGACAGCCGCCCTGAATAGATGTACGGTCGTCATTCCCGTACATTGTCTAATATTTTTCAGCCATGATGAAAATCACACCATTCTGTCTAATTATTTTCTGATGGTTTTTTGGGTTAAAATAAAACTTCTATCATGGCGCTCTTTTAGAGTGTGATTTTGAGTCTGTTTTTTTTTCAAAAACCAAACCAAACCAAAACTAAACCTATAATATTAAGAAAATATCAAGTTCTACAACTCCTTTGCACTGGTGATAAACCTGTCATTTAACTCAATTAACTAAATAATTATTAAAAATATATTATTAGTTATAAAAATGTATTTTTGTATAAAAAACAATATTATTAAAATAAGCTAGATAAGAATATTTTAATTTATTATTGTCTTGTTCTGGAATGAAAATTGTCTTTGTTTTAAGTTGATCTAATCCAACGCGAATAAAAGTATTTAAAACTATTTTTTTCTGATTTTTTGGTGATTTTTAGATTTTTTCTTGTATGTGTGTATTGTATTTTCTTGTATGTATTCCATAATGTGAATATTGTATTATTTTTTTTCCTTATTAAGAACACTTTACCATGATTTTTAAATTTATTTTACATGGGCGTATGTATACTATTCGTTCGGAAATAAATTTATTATTGTTATAACAAAAAGACCTATCTCTCTTAAACAACTAAAAATAAATTATTTATCAAAATTTACGCTCAATTTATCTTCAGAACGTTTTCTCAAGGTCTCCGTTTAAGTGTTAATACAAAAACACTATTAAAAAGTTAAAGACTTTACATTTATTGGCCAAATAAAGTAAGTGATTTTCTTTAAATTGCTCTCCTGAAAAGTAGCAAAAATCGAGATACGCCTTTTTGTCATAAAGCCGACGATATATGTATGTGGTTGTAAATAGAAAAATATATTATACAATACTATTATACCGTATGATCGATTAAAAATGCCATCAGGCTATAAAATGACGATCGATGACATTTCCAATATAATTTTACATATAAAATGACAACGATCTTAATTTCATAGCCATCGCTGACGCCGTTTTTATTTGATCATACGGTATCATCAATGAAACAGTGAAAAGAAATATTAAATTATTTATTGATAAGCAATATTACACCTTATTCTACATGAAAACCCTTTCATTGTTCGATCAAATGTTCAATTTGTGGGACCGCGGTTTGTGCCAATACGTTCAGCTTCCTACAATTGAAATCCTGGCTTTACAATACTCGCTGAATGGAAACAATGCGGTTTGATTGTAACAGACGTTGAAAATTGGAAACACCTAACTTTTAGGTAAATAACAAAATGTCGTGTATCTATGTATAAGGTTGAATAAGCTGAATTTGGCTGCTATAAATTTAAAAAGGGAAAAAATAGCTTTAGCAATATTAGAGCAATGCTTTTGCTTTACCAGGTGTTTTTCATAAGTGATTTGCCTCCTTAAGTCTTTTATTTTTCCAGATAAAAAAAACGAGATTTGGTATGTTAGTATATTATGACATAAATCAAGACTGATTAACGTATTCAATTAGCCTCGGTCCTGTTTAACATTTGCTTTTTAAATAGTACTGTCGGTATTTTTTAGTTTATTTCATGGAAAATGGCATTCTGAATTGAATAACCTATCATACTTCATCAACTTTTGTCATTTTCAATTAAAAAAATAGTAATTTAAATTTCAATCAAAGACAATCTTTTGACGCAGAATATGGAAGGCTGTGTCAAAAAAATAATTTTTAACCAAGGAACCTTGGCATAATAGATGTAAACGTCTGTGTTTTTCCTATCTTATCCAGATCCGATTAAAAGATGCTTAAATCGTATTTTTAATCATAACTGAATTTTTTCAAGTGCGGAACGCGAATGGCTCATTAGCATATCCGAAAAAAGTATTTTTTACAAAATAAGGTGGTATCGCACATTCTTGGAATTTAATGTAAGTCAAATTATCGTTATATTCATTGTCGTGACACTGTAGATTGAAATTTAAAATACAGTTTTTTAGCGAAACTGTCAAAAGTTGACATTTGATATGTCATTCTGTTCAGAATATCATTTTCTATTAAATAAAGCAAAAAAATATTGAAAAAATAATAATAAACAAATAAATTAAAATAAACAAATTACGGAAATTATTTTTTTTTCACTCAGTAGTTGTATACAAGTACGGAGGAAAATTTATTACTCTTCTAATCGAGTTCAGAAATTATTTGGAAAAAACGAAATAAAAATGAAACTTCTATACCCTGTAGCTCCGAAACGAAGCATTTTAGGGCATACATTTGTACATATATATATTTTTTTATGTGCAGAATATGCTGTCAAAGTTTCCTGAATACAGTTTGGTCCACCCTGTATAATATTTTCCGAAATGCCGTTTTCCCTTAAAGATTTTGGTACATGGAGTAAACAAAAGTCACAATATTTTTCAGTAACATAAACTTCAAAAATGGCTAGGTAAAATTGACGTTTGACAAAAGTACGTAGATGGCACTCAAGGATACTATAGAGATAAGGATAGTTCGATTCCTATCTTCCTGCACTGTCAGTTTTTTTACGTCATCTACTGACCGAGTTCAAGTTGGCGCTAAAGATTTTAGACAGTGACTGTTATTTTTGCATTTGACGGACAAACGCACAGTGCGTTGGAAGATAAATTTAGCGGGACAAAAGTGTTTGGTTAGAAATAAGCCAAAAAATGTGTACTGATAAGAATAAATAGTAGACATTCCAATTGATACAAAAATGCATGAATATTCTTTGCATTTCGATACATTTTTATCAACCAAATTTGGTCGTTTTCTGCTCAGCAAGGCAGAGATCATACGAAAACAAAATAATTACAAGTGCTTATACATTTTTTTAGAAAGCCAAATTATATTAAAAATTGCCAAAGGTATGTACTTTTCTACTGTACGTATATTATTTGTTAAAATCCTTCGTGCTTTTGTTCTGCAGAGACCAAACTTTCACTTTTTTTTTCAAATATCGATATATTGAATGATGTAGATCTTTGGAGTTACCAATAGTTACCAACACAGGTAGTCACAGTCACAGGGAGTTTAACAACAGGGGTTTAACAACAGGTGAATGCCCAAAAAGATTCATTTCAATCGGATAGTATAAAAACAAAACAACTCCATTAAAAGGCACTGAGTTTAAAAAATTGTCTTAGATATACTTACTATATATGAATTTACAATTACTGAGTGTTAAAATTAAAATTAAAATATGTATCTTATTTATTATTTTCAAAATAAAATATATTTTTTTAAAATAAATTATAGAGGCTGTCACAAGATTACAAATTAATTAAAAAAAGACTGCTAAAGAGTTTTTTGATATCATAATTTTATGTATTAGGCAATAGTTTACAATACGGTTTTTGTGTGTTATGTACGAATGATATCATAGTTTTATTATCTTGTATTTATTTATTAATAAATTAAGTTGTTAATAAATAAATAAATTTAACCATATAGTTGTTATATATTAGACCATTTGCTACGTTCTTAGATTTTAAGTCCCAAACATTGCTCTTGAGATTTTGTCCCGCTAGAATAAACATCCGCCTCACTGTGGAGCGCTGGTCAGCGCGTGACGTAGCATTCCACGGCGACTACGACAGCGGCGATTTGACGCTATCGAACAGTCCTTTAGAATATACCTATGCATACAGTCCTTGGATGGCACTAACAAAATCAAAGAATATTTTGGTTGAATGCTATATTTGTGTATATAATATACAGGGTGTGTAAACAGCTTCTATACCTACTTGCAATAATGTTCTATATTTTCTATTCGCCGAAAAACTTTAAAATATTAAAAAATTAATGTTTAACAGTCAATTTAGAAATACCGCACATTTTTTCAAAAAATCGATGTTTGTACGAGGAACTGCACCATTCGTGACACAAACTTTGATACTACTGATATAGGATACGGAGAACTAACCTTTGCAAAACCGTCTCAGATACGTAATTTTGTCAAAATATGAGATTGTATGATTAGTTATAACTCAAGAATAGGGGAAACAACAGATCGATTAGGTCGCGGTGATTAACTTAGCCCCCCTCCCCCTTTCCTATACAATCTACAATCTTGCAACTTCACGTTCAATCAAAATATGATAAAATTTTTTTTGGAAAATTGGACAAAATTGATTTGATTTTTTTCTTCATATTGCTTCTGTATTTCTAAACTTAGTTTAGATAGAAGGCAGAAGAAATAATTATGATTTCAGAATTTCTTATGTATTTTGCAATTTTAGCATAAATGTTAATTACTTTTAGAATTTCATGGATATTTCTTTATTACATTAATTTCTTCTATGATATTTATACAATTTGAGAATCCTATATCAATTTGCATAATTTTCAATTTAATATAGATTAGCATTGGGTGTTCGGACACAAAGCGTTCTAATATTTCTACTATTATTATTAAAACTCAATTATTTAACTTAGAACCTAATTTTTATTTCAATTTTTGTCAGTTTTATAATACTTGTTCAACAGGTAAAGACTTAGAAAACGGAGATGTGAGTTGGGGTGTTTTCGTAATAACATTTGAATGTTTCCAAAGCGGTATCTTCAGGAGTGGCCTTGGATTGTACGCACTTAGCGATCAGTTTGTCAGCGGCTTCGGGGTTGTTGATGGCACCGGACAATTTTTGTTTGATTACTTCGGGTTGAGGTGCTCCAGCGCCATCTTGGAAGCCGATTTTCTTGGAAACGCAGTAGGCAAAAGCTTTCAATTTGGCGTCATCGCTGAAAGTACCCTGACGAGCCTTGGTCACCAATTCTTTGTCCACTCCAGATTCAGTAATGCATTCTTTGCCGTAAGCTTGGACTTTCTGTTTCTGCTCATCTGATAGATCGGCCTAAAACATTTTATTATAAAGTGAAAATAATATTTATTGGCTCCTAATAATATTAATATCAATTTGCAAAGAATATAAAATTGTAATTGTAAGGATAGAGTTTTTATTCGGATTCTATTTCTATGTTATTATTTTAAGTTAACCTTTGTTGTTATCAGGTTATTAGTTATTAGCTTAGGGATGCTCATGTGCTAATAATATGCATCGTATAATTATTATAAATAAATTAATTTCTACACTAACTACTTTCTAATGATCTACATGTTAGAAAGTGTTGACCTCCCTATTGCACAAATTTATTGTTTGTTTTATTTACAGCCTTTTGCATTTTCTTATTATATTACCGAATTCATTTTGTACTCTTTATTGTAAATGTTCAGATGTATTGATTTCACTTTTACAAATGACGTGAAGTAATGGCCCCCTCCCCTTGTCGACAGATCCAGGAACCTTTCTGGCCATTATACTACTCTACCATTTACAATCCATCTTCAGGGGAATTATTTAATTGTTTATATTATATTTATATTATTTTTTATTATTTTATTGCATTTGATTTTCCGTATTCAATGTTTTACGCCACATCAGTGTTAAATTTGAAAGCTTATAGCAATATTACAACGATGATTAGATTAAATATTTTAAAAAACAGAGACGGACTTGAAATCAGTTTAAATTAATCGTGTTTAAATGTTCAAATCAAAAAAATATATATTAAGTGTGCCATATTGTGTACTCAGGAGACCGAATTCTTTCTAAATATGAAATATAAAATGCAGATCCGAATTTAAAAAAATAAGTTGGCCTAAGTATCTCATAAATTGTCAGCTAATTTGAAAATCAAAAAATATATTTATCAGGTAGCCTTGATAAAGTGGACATAAGAATGTGGGTTGTGGCCCATGTGGAAAGTTGGCCCATCAGCTAATTTGAAAATCTAAAAATACTGTCAAATAGACCTAATAGAGTGGCTATGAGAGTGTGCAATTAGTTTTTTGATTTTCTAAAAAGTAACGACAACAAAAAATAAAATTGATTTTCAAAACATCTTGGTGAACATCCATAAAGCTCAACTTTGCTCCAATTTAACCATGTTCGTATCTATTACGTTTACCGAGGTACCAATGCTCGTATCCCGAATTTGTAGCACCCTGTATATAATGTATACACAACCTAACCTAACAACTTAACCTAACAACTCAAAAGGTACAAGGATATTTTCCTTGAAAACTTAAAGGGGATAAAGCATGCAGAATCAGTAGGAGCAAGCAGAATAGAACGAGTGGAGAACAATTGTGAACCCAGTTAACAACGATAACCAAAAAGTAAAGTGACAACAAAGTAATGAGATTTTTGAATGTCCGGAGTCCAGAAGAGAGAAAACATCACGTATCGGGCTTTTCAGTCAAAGAAAAGCTCATGAAAGGAAATACCATACCACACCAAATCATAACCATCTTCTGATGTGTGTCAAATACTCGTCAGCGAGTAATGGCAGTAAGTAAGTGTTAATTTTTTGGCACTGTAAGAAATATAAAAAATAACATAATTGGAATAAACGTAGTACACCCAATATTTGGATCCAAGATATTTTAAAGGCTGAAAAAATACTGGAGCACGGCGAGCCGAGCATTCGAAACGAGGTTTTCGGGTTTCGACTTTGAGAAAACGCTCGTCGCGAGCAGCGAACAAGTATATTTATATTTCTGTATAAAGAATAACTGTATTTTATCTTAGAAAGGGCCGGTGTAGGGTAAAAAACCTTTTTTGTTCTACTCATGTAGCTGTAAGATTCTGTAACTTTGATTTGGCTTTCAATAAGTCAGAAAATAAGGAGAGATCTTAAATGTTTTCTAAATTTTTATTTTTTTAATATTATATCATAGTATTTGCCTCTGAGAAAAGTTACTCGACATTGTATCATAGACTTCTAATTTTTTGCTTTAGTTTTATACCTACGCAATTAGATTTAATTATGTTATAAATTGTAATATAAAGAAAATTGCTTTGTAACTAAGGCACTTTAATTAAGTCTATGGTCACCTTTTTATTATCCTTTCATGTAATCATTTAAACATTTATTTCAATAAATACTGAGCGCATGCACATAAAATATTTCGAACCTACACAAGTGATTTAAATGCGGGTTTATATAAAAAACTAATTTATGTTATGCAAATGTTTATAAAACATTGAAAAAACTGAATGGAAAATGATTGTTTTAATAACTAATTAAGTTCTGTTTCACCTGCACTGCAGCAATCAGCGTACAGGCTAGTATTATTTTCATAATTTTCGTAAAAATATAAATTAAATGTTTTTTATTGTGTCACTAACTATTATGGTTTTATTATTAATACGTATATAATAATTCAAAAATAGCAAGGATGCAGTCAAACATTGGTGTTACATTTAAAAAAAATCATCAATCAATTGACTGCATCCTCACTTAAATTTTGAGTTTTTTTATATAATAATTCTATATGTATATTGTTCCAATTTTTGTTGCTGTTAAATTATTAAATTATTTATAGTTAGGTACATATTTTTTATAAGAGTGAAATGTATGTTTTTTTTTCAATCTTATACCCCATATTTATTTATCTACTTATTTTTTTATATAATTATTTATAGTTAGGTACATATCTTTTATAAAAATGAAATTGTATGGATTTTAACCTTTTTTTTTACTGTTTTTTTTAAATTTTTAACAACTTTGAATCAAATATTTATTTATCTATTTATTCTTTTTAATAAAAAGCACTACTGTAATTTTACTTGCATTATTAGTGCAGATTTAAATAATATTTCTTGTTTTAAGTATATAAACATTAAAAAATAAATAATATTCGAACACCGCAAAAATAATTTTAAATTATTATTTTTCTATTAAAAAAATACCGGGTGCGTCTCAATAGTGGCTCACACCTATAACTTTTTTTATTTTTTCAGATAAAAAAACGAGATTTGGTATGTTACTATATGACAAATTAGGATTGATTGGTGTATTCAATTGTTTTTGGTCACTTCCTGTTTCACCGGAAATTACTACAACTTTTGATTTTTAAATGGCACCCCCGGTATTTTTTTACTTTATTGGATAGAAAATGACATTCTGAATAGAATGACATCTGAATAGAATGACATCTGAATAGAATGACATCTGTATAGAATGACATCTGAATAGAATGACATCTGAATAGAATGACATCTGAATAGAATGACATATCATATGTCAACTTTTGATATTCTCGCTTAATAAAAAAATTCAATCTAGAGTGCCATGGCTATGTTAAAAACACTATTAATTTCTTCATCAAGGAGCCTTGGAAAAATAAATTTATTATTGTATTTCGAGTCAAATTTTCGTTACGAACCGCAAGTTATAATTTCAAATAAACCATATGCGAAAATGTCAAAAGTTGACATATAATATGTCATTCTATTAAGAGTGACATTTTCTATCGAATAAAGTTAAAAAATACGTAGTCATTTAAAAATCAAAAGTTGTAGATATTTCCGGTGAAACCGGAAGTGACCGAAAACAATTGAATACGTCAATCAATCCTAATTTATGTCATATACTCACATACCACATCTCGTTTTTTTAACTATAAAAATAAAAAAGTTATAGGGGTGAGCCACTTTTGAAACTCACCCGGTATAGGGTTCGGCAATAGTCCGTCGGGCATCGTAGCTTCTAGAATAAAAATCTAGAATAAAAAACAAAACAGAATTTTGTTTAAGTACAGACCTAAAGTTGGTTTTTGTTTTTTGTAGTATGATTTAATACTAGGATATATTTCAGAAAAATATTTTAACTTCTACAGGGTAACAAAAAAGCGTGAACGGATCAGAATCATTTTTTTTTTAAATGGAACAACTTGTATATTATTGCAAATTTGGCTTCCTTTCAGATCACTTTACATAATCCTAAGATATGAGTAAATATATTTTAGGTAATTTCAGAGATTTTAATAAATAAATAAAAAAAAAAATAAAAAAATATATTTTTTCCAGCCTTATCAAAATTATTAAAAATACAAGAACTGTATTGAAATCAAAACTATATGTAGTAAGTATTTACGTTAGATGGTCTATACTTGCGTTGCTACAAATATGGTAATCGTAAATTATACAGGATGTTCAAAATTGTACGCTAAACTCTCTAAAATATTTTTTTTAATTAAAACACCCTGTATATTATTGTTTCAATAGATGGAGAATTATAAAATGAACATTTTTTGTATTTAGAGTGTTTCAAATTTTTTAACGGTTTGGTAGATATTCGCGGTTAAATATTTCATATGGCATTTTCCACAGTAAATTTTGATCAAAGCCACCCATTTTTGGATTTTCTCTCTTATTTTACCGTTGAAAGGGAAAGCGCTATATAAAATAATAGATACTGCGTGTATCTACGAAACCATTAAAAAAATTGAAATACTTTAAATACAAAAAATGTTCATTTTTTAACTCTCCATCTTATCGAAAAATAATATGCTGGGATACTTTAATAATAATATACTTCTTTTTCATTAAAAAATACAAAGAAAAATTATTTTATTTTTAGAAAGTTTGGCGTAGAATTTTGAACACTTTGTATGATTTAATATTATGATATTTATAGGAAAGTTAAATATAGACCACCTAAAGTAAATAGCTAATATTGATTTTGATTTCAGGACGGGTTTTTGAATTTGTAATAATTTTTTTATGGAAGGTTTAAAAATATATGTTTTTATTTATTTATTTATACCTCTGAAGTGATCGAAATATATTTACTCATATCCTAGGATTATGTAAAGTGATCTGAAAGGAAGCCAAAAATGCAATAATATACAGGGTGTGCATTTAAAAAAAATCATCCCGATCCACTCACACTTTTTTGAGTCACCCTATAGAAGTTAAAATATTATTCTAAAATACATCGTCGTACTTACTTTAGGTTTGCACTTAAACAAAATTCTAAACCTTTTTTTTATTCTAGGAGCTACTACTTATTCTAGGAGCTTTATGACCGACGCACTATTGCCGTACCCAGTATATTTTTTTGTTTTGAAGTTTTGGTTTAAATGACATTCTATTAATAATTATTGTTACACCCTGGTATACTCCAAAAAAAATCTTTAAAATATACATATTAAAATAAAATGTCTTTAAATTATTTTTTATATATTTTTTTTATTTTTTATATTCATACTTTTTAGATTATATTTATGATTCCAGTTTAAAAAAAAATACGTTTGGCATGCCCTAATCATAAAATGCGTAATAATCTAAAATTACATACTCTGCTGTTATAATTATACAAGTATAATTGCAGTATAATAAAGCGCAGCATAAATAATTATTTTAAATATACACCTACTTGTCTGTCTTAATTCTTTAATATGAAATAATTAAAAAATGACTAAAATGACAAAAAAATTGAATAGTTAGCAATAATTATTTAAATTTTTCATCTTATTATTATTGTATTGAAAAATTTTGGTTAGGTCGTTTAATTTAAAAGATCATTCTATGAAAAATCATATACAGGGTGGTCCGAACTATATTCCGGAAACTTCGGCATCATCATATTCTGTAGATAATAATAAGTAAAAAAGTTCGTATAAATGAATGTCCTAAAATCCTTAGTTTCGGAGATACATACATTCGGAATCGAAATTATTAATACCTGTCATCATTGACATAAATAAATAATTAAACATGTGGACTAAATAGTTATTAGACTGAAATCATAAATTCGAAATGTTTTTGTGGCAAAAGTTCAACCGAAATTGTTTAATCATCATTTTTTCAAAGAAAAATTTATGATTAATTGAAAAAATAGAAAGTTCCCAAATTTACCATTTCAGCCAAATAACTATCTACTAAAACTCAATATATTTATTTTTTGTGAATAATGACATGTGCTGACTATTTCCTTTGTAAATATTTTGAGAACGGTTGCTAGTAGCGATTTTTACCAAGAGACATTTTTTACGTAAAAAATCACGATTGTATATTTTTTCACTCAGTAGTTTTATACAGGTACGGATGAAAAGTTATTACTCTTTAAAACAGCTAAAATACATGTAGGTGGCGCCTCCTACAATTAGGAGTCATATTGACATCAAAATAAAATAACAAGTCAAAAAACTCCCAGACACCAATTTTCATCTAAATATTGACTTTACTTCAGAAATTATTTGGAAAAAATCGAAATAAAAATGAAACTTCTACACCCTGTATCTCCCAAAATTAGCATTTTTGGACATACATTTATACGAACTTTTTAACTTATTTTTAACTGCAGAATATGCTGCCAAAATTTCCGGAATGCAGTTCAGACCACCCTGTATAATAACATTTTAAATAAAAAAAAATACATTATAAAATAATTTCGATAATAATACTTAAGTCAATATAATATTTCAAACAAAAAAGAAATAAAAAAATAAATTTTTATAATAAATTAATATAGTAGTACTAGACGCGATCGATGACATAACCCATATAATTTAACCAACAAAGTGACAAGAAGTGATATTAATTTCAAAACCATTTCTGAACCTGTATATTTTCAATGGTTTTTTCGATCGGTATACTTAGTATATACTAAAAATTATATAAATATTTTAATAAGCATCAACCTAAAATAAACTTTTTTGACTGTACTAAAGAAATAATAAAAATAGAAATAAATAAAAGTAGTAAAAGAAGATAGCCAAAATATTGAAACCCAAAATAAAAATAAATTTTCAGGATTCCAAGTTTTAAGATAAAATAAATTTGTATAATATTTGATAAATTAAATTAAAATAAAATACCTTTTTTTTAATTCAACTAAAAATAAAATGTTACTTACGTGCACGCAGATGGCGACACTGATAAGAACAACGGCAGCTACGAAGGCTTTCATTTTAATAATCACTTTTTTACCTCGATATATGTTCACCGAACAAACGCAAGATTGCAATTGATAATTAGCAAATAAAATTCGCGTTTTTATATACGTTTTCAATTTGCAGATCCACCACCACTACCACTTGTTCAGACAAAGATTCATCTTGAGGATGGAGGAAAAAAAACAAACCTTGAACCTTTAAACCATGATGGTTGTTTTTCTCATTCGGTTGCCATAGGTGCCTATAGGACATTAGGTTCGACTTTGGACTTTGGACGCCGATTTTTAAATCTGATCGATCTGTTGCTGCTAAAAAATATACATCGATGATGAGGGGAATCTTTTGGTGGTTCTCTAGTCTGTACATTATGCAGATTAGTTTTTTCTCTATCTTAGTCTGATCTTAAAGTGGTTTAGCAAATCGAAATTTAATCAATACTTATTATCTAATATTAAGTATCTATAGTTTATATGTAGGGAAAATCTTTATATTTCTGATTGTTTAAAATAAGTTTATCAGAACGTCAGCGGTTATAACAGACTCGTTTAAAGTGTTTTTTTCAGCAGTTACAGACATTTTAAATATTATTTTTATTGATTTTTGCTTCTGACCTAAAGGGGATTTATACGTTAAGCATTTTTTGGTGCTTACACAAATTTATTTTACGAGAAAAAATCACTCACGAGCAAAAACCACTTTTGGAAAAAAATTACCCGTCTAATTTCGACAGGAGTGTTTAGGTAATGATTTTCTATTTAACTTCTAAGAAAGGGAAGTTTGAAAAAAGTTCCCTTTTTAGATTTTTTCCGGTTTTTTTTTCAAATATTTCCGATTTTTTTTTCATAAAAAATAAAGATACGTTGCTTGTAGAGAATTCAATTTCAAATATTTAATTTTCTACAGTATGTCCCCGGATTGTTTTTACAAGAGGAACCACTTTTAAATTATTAACTTTCTGGGAAAAATGCTTTCTTCTTAAAAAAATTTCCGTTTTTTAAATTGGTAAATTTTGTTTATATTTTTCCAAATTACCACACAATTTTAGGGAAAAATAATAAAATATGAAAATATAGTTGAATTTTTTATAAGTCACAAGAGTCAAAACGCGTTCCTGTAGTAATATTATTCACTTTTATTCTTCGATAAATAATTATTATTATATTCTTTGACTATTATTAATTGATCAACGTCATATTTTTTGTTGTTTTAAAATGTTAGAAAAACACAAAATTTATAAATACATTTTTCGAGCATTGAACTAAATAAATGTTGTGCTTCTTTAACATATTAAAAGAGCAAAAAAATATGACGTAAATCAAAAATGATAATAATATATCGAAGAATGAAAACCTTAAAATAACATTTGGAGTTTTGATTTTTGGGACTCAGAAAAAATCAACTGTATTTTCATTTTTTTTTTATTTTGCTCTAAAACGGTATGGAAGTTTGGAAAAATATAAAGTGATTAACCATTTTAGAATAAGACATTTTTTTATAAAGACTTATTTTTTCTCAAAATCTTGCTTGTAAAGAAAATCTGGGAACAAATAAATAAATAATAACTGAGATAGGCCTATTTCTTATGGTATGTTTTATAAATTTTCAAATTTTTAAAACTTTTATTTTTTAATTAATTTATAAAACATTTTAAACCAAATATTTACTACATTTATTTAAAATGTGTAACGCTCATATTTCGAGTATAAATTTAAGCTATAAATTTGATTCGTAAAACAAAAAAAAAATTAAAAAAACAAAAAAGAAATCTCTTTCTATCACACTTACCACGCTTTTAAGAATATTTGAGACCCATTTTTGTAAACAAATGCGTTTTAGAACACAGATGCTTTTTACAATCGATAGGATCAATCATATGATAAGATAGAAAAAGGGACATTTTCTGTTGATTCTATTAGTCCAGGACACAGGGATTTTTTCGTACTTATTTTCCCAATGGCTGAACTAACATCATCAGAAGCAAAATACAAAAAATAAAGAAATCATATTTAAAATTTCTAAATATAACTATTTATAGAAAACTTATTTTTTTAGCAAACTCGTCCATAAAAAACCGCTGACCTTCCGACAAACTAACTGGCATTACATAAAATCCAATTTCGAATAAACAATTTTATTTCTACCTGAGGACAGGTATCCTTACTTAATGAAGTATGAACAAGGAGCTTAAAATTTCTTAGTATATTTTTACTTCTTTTTTTAATAAGATACAGTTAATAATTTTCTTTTTACGAAGTAAAGCCCCATACTCACTATTCGTTGTTTTATTTATTTAGCGTATGGCACAAACAGGGGTGGATGGGGAAAAACGGGAAAATTCCCGGTGGGCCGGTCCCGATCAGAGCTCAAAAAAAATTGATTTAGCAAAAATTAAATGGTTAATCTTCTAATTAAAGTTATGTAAGATTCTTAGTGACTGCCTAACTAACTAATCAATTAGATCAATACAATCATCAATTGCTTTTAAACATAAACACCAATTTGTAAAATAACTGTTGTTAGATGTCTTTCTCTGGGATACTTATAATTTTGTTAAACATCTGTTTGCTGTTCCGTTTGAAATGTTTTATTATACAAGGTGAGTCTATAAGTGCACTTTATTCGTGCTGCTTTGTGCAAATATTTTCAGGGCTGGTTGATAAAAATAACCGAAATTTTTGTGTATTTGCATCTCTTTTTGTGTTGTAATATCAAAGATTAATAAAATATACCGTGGAAACATTTGCGGTGAAACATTTTTTTTGCAAAAACTTCATAGACGTGTTCCTGGGGTCGAAATATACCACCCCTGAAAATATTTGCACTTATTTAAGACTCATCCTGTATAGTTTTACCACTATGCTTTTATTAATAACTAATAAAGACTCCGGCGGGCGTACAGTAGAAAAAAGAGTGAATTTAAATTAACTATAATTATTAAATTTACTATAATTATTTAAAATGTGTAACGCATAATGGATAAAATTCGAGTATAAATTTAAGCTATAAATTTGATTCGTAAAACAAAAAAAAAATAAAAAAACAAAAAAGAAATCTCTTTCTATCACATTTACCACGCTTGGAAGAACGTTTGAGACCCATTTTTCTAAACAAATGCGTTTTAGAACACAGATGCTTTTTACAATTGATAGGATCAAATCATTTAATAGGATAGAAAAAGGGTCATTTTCTGTTGATTCCATTAGTCCAGGACACAGGGATTTTTTTTTTGTACTTGTTTTCCCAATGGCTGAAAGTATATTTGGATGGTAACATTAAATGACAATTTGTGAGTCTGGCTAAAATTTCCGGATGACAAGATGACGGTTCACTAGATAAACCTAAAAACTAAACTAAAAAAGTTCATATATTTTCCCAGTAATAAATGTTGCTTGAAAGCTATAAAACATGCTTGGAATTTAAAGTATCGTTCGATACTACCACAAACTATAAACAAAAGCATGTCTGGCTGCTTTATGAAATTGGCAAAGGAGTGTGGCGGCATCTTGAAAATTGCAAAAATTACAAAATGTTTGCTCTTATTTTCCCGGATTTGAAAATTTTGTCACATGATAAATAATACTATAATTTCATAGAAAACACACGTCTGGCTGTCATTTACAATCACTAAAGCTCCGCTAAAGTCACAAGTTAGGTAGATAAATGAGGAGAAGAAGCGCCACCTGCGGATGAATTTAGCGCGCCTGATGAACGCTGGACGAGTCTGGCAAGGCTTTCGGAATGTTCCACATTAGCCAGATTATATTTGCAGCTATAATTATAAGTTATCATCTGACCTATTTTAGGACTGCAAAAATAAGGACCATTGTTTCAAACATTTTTATCCAAGTTTTTACCTGCCAGACATTATATTATCCATTCCTATAGATTAGTCAGACTATATTTTTTTCTTAACTCATCTCTCACTGTATAAACTATAGAATAGAACTATTTTTATCGCTGGAGAAAAAAGAGCAGTATAGTTAATTTCTAAAAGTAGGTCGCATTTGCCGCCTCAACCTATCAGAAACCCCCCTCCCCCTCCCTTTACTGATATATGAAAAAATTGCATTGATAACATACCGAATAATTCTATCGGTGTTTGCTGACTGGGAAAAGAAGTACCAAAAATCTTCATTGCGTGGACTATACCGGGCGCGTCTCAAAAGTGGCTCACCCCTATAACTTTTTTTTATCAGATAAAAAACGAGCTTTGGTATGTTAGTATATGACATAAATTAGGATTGATTGACGTGTTCAATTCTTATTAGCCACTTCCTGTTTCACCGGAAATGACTACAACTTTTAATTTTTAAATGGCACCCTCGGTATTTTCTTACTTTATTCGATAGACAATTACATTCTGAAGTTGACATATCATATTTCGTCAACATTTGACATTTTTGCTTAAAACAAAATTGAATTTTAAATTTCAATCTAGGGGGGTTAAAAACACTAATTTTTAATCAAAAATATTTGATCGTCTAATGTTTTTAGTGTCTTGTCCTGGCCGGTTAAAAGATGCAAAAATCGTATTTTTAATAATATCCCAATTTTTTCAAATTGGACGAGGGTGACTAGTTAGCACATTTGAAAAAAGCATTTTTTACCAATACTTTGGTACCACACACTTGGTATTTCGAGTCAAATTGTCGTAATGAATCGCATATTGCAATTTCAAATAAACTATATTTGGAAATGTCAAAAGTTGACATATATGATACGTTAAACACCAAGGGTGCCATTTAAAAATCAAAAGTTGTAGGTAGTTATTTCCGGTGAAACAGGAAGTGACCAAAAGCAATTGAATATGTCAATCATTCCTAATTTATGTCATATACTAACATACCAAAACTCGTTTTTTTATCTGAAAACATAGAAAAAGTTATAGAGGTGATCCACTTTTGAGACGCACCCGGTATAGACAGGTTATTTTTCTGATCTATTTTAATTCAAAGTCTAATATATTAACAATATATTTCTGAATCTAAAAAATGTATCATCACAATTGCAACGACTCGTTGTATCTTTACTGTTCTTTAACGGTCTGAGTCTCGAGTTTGAAGCAAAGTAATTAAATTGGATGCTTTAATATATTTTATTTATTTTATA